CAGGCTCAGCGGCCATGGCTCACGGGCCCAGCCGCTCCGCGGCATGTGGGATCCTCCCGGACCGGGGCACGAACCCGCGTCCCCCGCACTGGCAGGCGGACTCTCAACCACTGCGCCACCAGGGAAGCCCTCTGACCATTTTTAAAAACTGTTTAATCTTTTTTATTTAAAAACAAGAATTCAGTGTGTATAAATTTAGACGCTTTGTGTCTCTCTTTGATGCCTTCCTTTACAATTTTTGCGCTGCTTAGGAAAATACCACTGTTGTACTTTCCAACACAGCATGCCTATTTCAAAATTAATAATTAAATTTTCAATGTTTCTGCTATGCAAAAGAATGCATATCTTCTCCCTAACCAGCACATTTATTGGATATAAACTCAGAGCTTAAGACAGATGAAGATGAGTTTATAAGAAACTGGTACAAGCACTATGGAAAACAGTGTGGAGGTTCCTTAAAAAATTAAAAACAGAACTACCACAGGATCCAGCAATTCTACTTCTGAGTATTTGTCTGAATAAAACAAGTACACTAATTTGAAAACATATATGTATCCCTATGTTCATTGCAGCATTATTTACCATAGCCAAGATATGGAAGCAACCTAAGTGTCCATCAACAGATGAGTGGATAAAGAAGATGTGGTATATATACACAATAGAATATTCCTCAATCATAGAAAATACTGAAATCTTGCCATCTGCGACAGCATGGGTGGACCTGGCGGGTAGTATGCTAAGTGAAATAAGTCAGACAGAGAAAGAGAAATACCATATGATTTCACTTATATGTGGAATCTAAAAAACAAAACAAAGGAACAACTTACAAAACAGAAACAGACTCACAAATACAAAGAACAAATTGGTGTTTGCCAGAGGGGAGGGGTGTTGGGGGGATGTGTGAAATAGGTGAAGGGGACTAAGAGGTATGAACTACCAGTTATAAAGTAAATAAGTCACAGGGATGTAAAGCGCAGCACAGAAAATATAGTCAGTAATATTGTAATAACTTTGTATGGTGACAGATGGTAATCAGACTTACTGTGGTGATCATTTCATAATGTATTAAAAAATTGCATTACTGGGCTTCCCTGGTGGCACAGTGGTTGAGAGTCCACCTGCCGATGCAGGGGACGCGGGTTCGTGCCCTGGTCCGGGAAGATCCCACGTGCCGCGGAGCGGCTGGGCCCGTGAGCCATGGCCGCTGAGCCTGCGCGTCCGGAGCCTGCGCTCCGCAACGGGAGAGGCCACAACAGTGAGAGGCCCGAGTTCCGCCAAAAAAAAAAAAAGCATTACTATGTTGTACACCTAAAACTAATATGATATTGTAAGTCAGTTATACTCCAGTAAATATTTCTTTTAAAGAAATAAGAAAATGGGTCTATTGAAAACACAGCAATGAATTTAATATCAGGAGGAATTCCTTGCCTCTCCTTTCCATTGTCTGTTAAATTTTGTAAGGAGGCTCCGCGATGGCTTCTCTATTGACTGGAGAATGCTGCAGAGTGGTGGTGAAGAGCGTGTTGGTGGAGAGGAGGTCGGTGGCCTCCGTGACTCACTTCATTGTAAAATGGGCTGTTGGTTCCTTCCTTCACTGTGCTTTGCTTCTTCTCATCCCCAATTTCAATGATCACAACTGGGTCGATGTTCTCACCCACCAGCTGGCGGGCCTCGGTGATGTTTATGGCAATCTACAACACAAAGCAGCGTGGACACACTCTGGGTCTGGCTGTTCATTCACACAAGAAGAGCTGGGCGGGGGGCTTGGTAGGAAGAGCTCATCACTTACTTGGTAATTTTGGGATCTGACCTCCCCATCGTGGATCTTAGTCAACAGTTTTGATCTATTGAAAGAAAGTTTAACATATTTGTTTCATTAAGAACCTACCTTAGATCCATCAGCCATGATAATATTTCCCCAGGTATTCCCACATGCTTTTATTCATATCACATATTCTCTCTCCATCTCTGGAGGAGATAAGTATAGATGGACACAGGACTTAACCTCTCTATGACTCAGTTTTCCTATCCTAAAAAATGGCACTAATAATAGCCCTTACCACAAGGAGTGATTGCTACAATTAAAAGATGTAAGGCATGTAAACGTTTAACCCAGTTCCTGGCAAGACTAAATGTCAATTCTTATTGTGAGTATGATTATCAGTATCATTTATTTTTTATTTTACAGAATGAGAAACTGAGATGCCTCAGCAAATCAGTGGCAGAGCTGGGTCTAAATAAGGATCTCCCTAATCTGCTGTCTGATCCTATCCAGCGGACCAATTTGCCATTTCTGGTAAATATAGCAATTCTGAGTTTCGTGATTGCTTTTGAAAAAAAAAAAAAAATTGGTAAAAAAGAAAATTGCAAAGAATGACCAAGATGTCATCTCAGCGAGGTTTCACATTCCAGGGGATTTCATTTATCAGGACTGTCATGAGTAACTGAAAACAGATGTGCAACACCTGGGCATCTAGAAATCGGATAATAACATAAAGAGGTGACGAATCCCTGCTGCCACAGAAGCAGCAATGGGTGGGATATAAATTGAGCTTGAGTTCCTATTGAATTTTATTCTCTTGCCTTCTAGCAACACTGCTGCATTTGACTTCCTTCCATTTCTGCTGATTATAATTGAGTCCAGTAGAGAACATAGTAAACTAGTAAAAGTCTCAAGCCTTTGGAGTCAGGCCGATCTGAATTAGAATATTTGTTTTCCCCAATTTTGTGATATTAGCCTTAATTTCTTCATCTAAAAATAGAAATAATAATTTCTACCGCATAGGGTTGCTTTTAGGATTAAAAGAAATATTGCATGTAGGAAAGGGTAGGATATCAAAGGGTATCTGTTCATCAATAAAACGGCAAACCTGTACTGACCATTTACCACGTGAAAGCTCTGTGCTAGTCTCAGAGGAAAAACACACATGAACAAGCCATCATCTTGGTCCTTGCAGAGCTAGCAAGCTATCCAAGGGAGAGAGGACCAAAGCAGATAAAGGGAGAACTATTAAGTGTAAGACATGGCGTAGAAAAAAATGTGATAGAACTTCAGAGAAGAGAGAAATTTGTGAGAGCCGAAGTAAGCAACAAAGACATCACTACAGAGGTCAGATTTGAACTGAACATTGGTAGGTGGGTAGAATTTTAACTGATGGAGGATGACTGGCCAGGAGAAAGCAAAAGGCCAGGGCTTCTTCCTTCTCTTTCTCCTCCCTTCCTCCACTAATTCTATGCTATTATCTTAGTGAAATAAATGGCAAAGGATCTGTTAAAGGATATTAAAAAATAACTGAAGTCCTGATTCTGGGGTTTGGGGGGGTGGTAGCTGTCATGGTGCCGTGTAGGGGGAAGGAGACATTGCAGTGAGTATGAACGTACAAACTTCACATCTTCTTTTAAGGGTCAAGCTCTGAGCTATCACCTTTTCTGATTTCCATCTGTCTCCCACCGCCTGCCCCCCTCCCCTTACACACATACACTGTGTACCATCCTGTCACAGCCCAGTGATACCAACTCAGGATGTGCCACACAAGGAAGCACTAATTTGCACTACTGATAATAACAACTGAGTGGAAAAGGAAGGGATGGCATGAGGAATTATCATTAGTAAGAAATTGACATAATCAAATATGGTAGACTGAAGGCATTGATAGCCCCAATTATTGGCTTCCTTGTATCCAGGATTTTTGCCCTGTAACTTGTAGTCTCCTCTTGCTGTGACATGGGCTAGACTTGTGACTTGCATTGGTCAACAGAATGCAGCAGAAATGACTTTTGCCGATTCCAAGCCTGGGCTCAAGAGATCTTGTGTACTGCCACTTTCTCTCCTGGAACCCTGCCATCACCACCATTGGAATAAGCTTGGAATAGCCTGCTGGAGGATCTAATACCGTACGAAGGAGAGGCCAGTGGTCCCAGGTAAAGCAATACTGGACCAGCCCACCACCAGCCAACAGTCAAACTAAAATCAGCAGAACTGCCAAATGACAACAGACACATCAGTCATATACCTGTGACTACCTGGAACCAGTAAAACTATCCAAACTAACCCACAGACTCATGAACAATGATAAGTGCTTATATTAAGCCACTGAGCTTAGGGGTTATTGGTTACACACCTATAGCTAACTGATACAACAAATTGCATGCAGAAGGCCAGTTTGTTCTGACTTTTTGTTGGGTAGTGTAAGAACCACTTTCTCATTTGGGACAAACACAAAGCCCAGACATCTAGCATCTTGATGAATTAAAGAGCAGGTGAGGGACAGCACCTGATGCTGTCTCCTGTTGCTGCTGTCATTCCTGAACAATGAGGGACATGAGTACCTTAACTCAGGAAATTTAAGACTAGACGTTGGTAGAGCCGGGACCCTGGCCAGCACTGCCGTAGAGAAAGTAGAGGAGACAAAACACTCAGTCTTCCTGCCTCAGACCTTCAGCTCTTGTAGACGGTGACTAGGTGTTATTCTCTGTTCTCCCAGAGCCTGCAGAAGTACCTGGCAGAGGGGAGGTGCTGGCAAATGTGTGCTGATTGCCTGTATCAATACTGTACCTTCTCTTTGGAGGAGCTGAGGGGACAGGAGAGGTGGAAGCATTGTCAGAAATCAAATCTCCCAGGCCTTCCTGGTGAGAAAGCCCCTCCTGTGGTGCTTCTGCTTCACCTGGACCATCTAGAAAAGCAAACAAAAGGGACAGATCTTTTAAATATGACACACCGTGGCAATATGAGCCTCAACTCTGTGTCCAGGCTATGCCAGTCACTGTAAGGTGTACAAGGACTGGTCAAAGACAGTCCTTGACCGCATGGACCTTATCATCTTTTTGGCAGAAAAGCCAGACACATACTATGTATCTTCTGTTTCCAAAAAAAGAGAGGGAGTAGATTTGTATGCCTGGTATTGTGGAATTATGGATTATGAATTTAAAGAGATGCTTTTGGGGTTTCCCTGGTGGCACAGTGGTTGAGAGTCTGCCAGCCAATGCGGGGGACACGGGTTCGTGCCCCGGTCCGGGAAGATCCCACATGCCGCGGAGCGGCTGGGCCCGTGAGCCATGGCCGCTGAGCCTGCGCGTCCGGAGCCTGTGCTCCGCAACGGGAGAGGCCACAACAGTGAGAGGCCTGCGCACCGCGATGAAGAGTGGCCCCCACTCGCCACAACTAGAGAAAGCCCTCGCACAAAAACGAAGACCCAATGCAGCCAAAAATAAAATAAATAAATAAATTAAAGAAAAAAAAAGAATGAGGAGCAACTGTTAGAGAATCAGGTTTACAGTGAACATTCTTAGGTACCTTATACATGCCAGAAACTGGGCTAGGTTAGATGTTCAGGATGGAGGAATTAACAAAACGTGGACCCCTCCCTCTAGGGGTTTACGCGCTGGAGGGTGAGACAGGCCTGCAGGCAGGAAGGCAGTCAGCTAAAGCATCATCCATAGCTAACTCATTGATTGATTGATTCATTCATTCTGTTCTCTCCAATCTACTCACCAAGGAGCTCCACTGCAACCTTCTTTAAAAAAATAAAAAATCATGTTTCTCTTTTGAAAACCCCTCCATGGCTTCCCACTGCACTTAGAATAAATCCGAAGTCCACACGCAACTCTAATTCCCTGTCCTACCTGACTGCCATCTCCTCCTCCTGGCCTACCTGCCCCCCGGCCCTACCCTCAGTGCTTTCTAGTCACACAGGCTGGCTTCCATCCCTTCTAACAAGCTCTCTCCTGCTTGAAGTCTTTCTTCACAGGCAGCCCTCAGCCTGAGCTGTTCTTCCTGCCCACCCCTCGGGGGCTCACCTAAAAAAATCCCCCCCCCCCCCCCCCCGCTCAGGAGCCCTTCTCAGACTACACTAAAAGAGATTCCCCCGCTAGTCTCCATGTAAGCACGTTGTCTATTTTCTTTACAGCACTTTTCTCCACTTGTAATGCAGTTACCGCATCAGGGTCCCCATGGATAACAGATGGCCCGTCCACAGCAGGATGACTTGAGGACTTTTTACAAAGGTGTGGGTATAGGAAAACCACAAAGGGTTGTACAGCTATCTCTGGCTATGGCAGCCAAGCTGATACCACGTGGAGGCCCCCAAAATGAGGAGAGAGAACAGTTACCAGAACGTGGAAGGAGAGGAAGTCGGGTCTAGTTGGCTTTCCTAGGTGGAGGGGCACCCATCCTCCAGCTGAGGGACACATCCAACCACTGGGTCCTGACCTCACACTCCTTCCTCCCCCAGACCTCCTGCTGGGGTACCCCCTTGGGGAAGGGACCTGGGTTGTGCATCCATAGAGGTCAGCCTCCTGGGACAGAGAGAGGTGGACAAGGGTGGAAGATAGATCTGGAAGGGCAAACGGAAGAATCCTCCACAGGGCTTTCTTCCCTCTAAACTATCCAATGTCACCACTACACACCCAGAACCGAGCACAGGACCCTACGCTCAGCAGACATTCTATTAATATTTGTTAAACAAATGAATGAATGATGATCATGGGAGGTACCCAACAACTACTCTTTGGGTAGCTAATTAATGGATGCGTCAGGGTCATTGGAATTTTATGAAATTAAGGCACAGCCATTATGTCTCAAAATACACAGATGTAAGAGCCACAGACTTTGAGAACCTCTAAACATTTCACCCAGAAAAGTCCTAACTTCCCCAGTCAGGCCAAGAAGGAAAGACCAATTTGCACTAAGTTCTGTAGACATTGTTTTCGCTGTCTCCCACAGGGTCAGCCCCTGGCCAGTAGGATGGATGCTATTTACTTTTAGGAGGGGCCTGACTCCTCTCCGCCCTGTTTGCTCTGTGGACTGAAGACTCTAATTCAACATTATGAAAATGACTCTACTACCCAAAGCAATCTACAGATTCAATGCAATCCCTATCAAACTACCACTGGCATTTTTCACAGAACTAGAACAAAAAATTTCACAATTTGTATGGAAACACAAAAGACCCCGAATAGCCAAAGCAAACCTGAGAACGAAAAACAGAGCTGGAGGAATCAGTCTCCCTGACTTCAGACTATACTACAAAGCTACAATAATCAAGACAGTATGGTACTGGCACAAAAACAGAAAGATAGATCAATGGAACAGGATAGAAAGCCCAGAGATAAGCCCTCGCACATATGGTCACCTTAAAGGAGGCAGGAATGTACAGAGGAGAAAGGACAGCCTCTTCAATAAATGGTGCTGGGAAAACTGGACAGGTACATGTAAAAGTATGAGATTAGATCACTCCCTCACACCATACACAAAAAGAAGCTCAAAATGGATTAAAGACCTAAAGGTAAGGCCAAAAACTATCAAACTCTTAGAGGAAAACATAGGCAGAACACTCTATGACATAAATCACAGCAAGATCCTTTTTGACCCACCTCCCAGAGAAACGGAAATAAAAACAAAAATAAACAAATGGGACCTGATGAAACTTCAAAGCTTTTGCACAGCAAAGGAAACCATAAACAAGACCAAAAGACAACCCTCAGAATGGGAGAAAATATTTGCAAATGAAGCAACTGACAAAGGATTAATCTCCAAAATTTATAAGCAGCTCATGCAGCTCAATAAAAAAAAAAATAACCCAATCCAAAAATGGTCAGAAGACCTAAGCAGACATTTCTCCAAATAAGATATACAGATTGCCACCAAACACATGAAAGAATGCTCAACATCACTAATCATTGGAGAAATGCAAATCAAAACTACAATGAGATATCATCTCACACCAGTCAGAACAGCCACCATCATCAAAAAATCTAGAAACAATAAATGCTGGAGAGGGTGTGGAGAAAAGGGAACACTCTTGCACTGCTGGTGGGAATGTGAATTGGTTCAGCCACTATGGAGAACAGTATGGAGGTTCCTTAAAAAACTACAAATAGAACTACCATATGACCCAGCAATCCCACTACTAGGTATATACCCTGAGGAAACCAGAATTCAGAAAGAGTCATGTACCAAAATGTTCATTGCAGCTCTATTTACAATAGCCCGGAGATGGAAACAACCTAAGTGTCCATCATCGGATGAATGGATAAAGAAGATGTGGCACATATATACAATGGAATATTACTCAGCCATAAAAAGAAACGAAATTGAGCTATTTGTAATGAGGTGGATAGACCTAGAGTCTGTCATACAGAGTGAAGTAAGTCAGATCGAGAAAGACAAATACTGTATGCTAACATATATATATGGAATTTAAGGGGAAAAAAATGTCATGAAGAACCTAGGGGTAAGACAGGAATAAAGACACAGACCTACTAGAGAACAGAGTTGAGGATATGGGGAGGGGGAAGGGTGAGGTGTGTTAGGGCGAGAGAGAGACATGGACATATATATACTAACAAACGTAAGGTAGATAGCCAGTGGGAAGCAGCCGCATGGCACAGGGAAACCGGCTCGGTTCTTTGTGGCTGTCTGGAGGGGTGGGATAGGGAGGGTGGGAGGGAGGGAGACAAAGAGGGAAGAGATATGGGAACATATATATATGTATAACTGACTCACTCTGTTATAAAGCAGAAACTAACACACCATTGTAAAGCAATTATATAAAAAAAAAAAAAAAAAAAAAGAGCCCCAGGGAGCCAGCTCCTCTGAAATGCCTATGGTCGGCTGCCCTAAATCTCCACCAGTTTGTTCCTTCCCCACTGCACAGTCAGTAAGGGCTCTTAACGGGAGGCTGACCCATGGGGTAGGAAAGCCTGGGCTCTGTTGTAAGACTGATCTAGCCTCAGGAGCCAGCTTCTGCACCTATTGGTTGTGTGACTTTTAGCAAACACTTATCCTCTCTGAACCTCTTATAAAACAGGGGCAAAGGAAACTACATTTCAGAGTCATGAATGATGTATGTTAAGTAAAAAACAGCAGGGGCTTATTCAATGTGTCATAGATATTAGTTTTCATAAGGTCCTTGAAGGAAGGAACTGTGTTTTATTCAACCTTGTATCTCCAGGACGTACTGCAGGGTCATAATTTCAAGGACACCAGGAAAGAACCCAGTCTTTTCTACCCAATCCCCGATACCTTCAACTTGAGTGAATAGACAAGTTCTTCTATTAAGCTTTAAGCCTTGTCTCCACCTAAAGTGTAATGCCTCTCCTGTCCCATCCAAGAATGACTTGATCATTACTATCAACACTTTAATGAGTCTCTGTATTTTCCCATCGTAAGGTTAGGTTTTCCCTGAGGGTGAGGAATGAAGCTGGGTGGAGGACAGGCTGCAGGGCACCTGCAGGGTACGCGGTGAAGGGTGAAGGACGCACCCCTCCAAGGAGACGAGAGGGGTGAAAATAAAGCAGATTCACTGTACCATTTTGGTTTAGAAATGGTCCAGAAAGCTAGCCTTGAACCAGTTGCTGTCACGACCACCCAACATAAATTTCCAGACACCACCCCAGACCTGTCCATTGGAAACAGTTGATCATATTTGATTCAATACACATGAGTGTCTCCCTGATATGGGGCCTGGCCTCCACTGGCACAGGTCACACTGTAACTTGGAGCCTTGCTCTTCTGGAGAAGGAATCGCCCATTCTAAGCGCAGGAAGTCTGAGAGCCTGGATTTATCAATATATCCCAATGCCATTGCTTCCTGGCTCTGCACCTCCCACCATCAAGGCTGGCTTCATGGGTCTGTGCAGCCCTGTAGGGTCCTGTGATCAGAAGGAACTCATTGCCCTTGGCCTAATGCTCTGCAGTCACCATCCAGATATTCTTAATAAGTTCTTAACAATGGCTTTGCATTTTCATTTTTCACTGAGCCCTGCAATTCTGCAGCTGGTCTTTTCCACACTTTACTTACTCTCTCTGCATCTCTGTAACCTCATTTGTGAAACTGGGATAGCCACACCTTCTGGTCGGATGACGGAGGGGTTAAATGAGACAGTATATGTAACGCCTCCCCCAGAGCAGCTGCCACCCTCCCTCTGATTTTCAAAATCTCACTTGCTTCTCCCAATGACCGCGCGGTCAGCTCAGTAGCCCACGTCATGCCCACTTAGCAAAGGGAGAAGCTGGGACTTGGAGCTGCTGAGTGACTTATCCTGGGCCGCAGAGCAAATCATAACAGAAATGGGAGCTTGAACCCTGTCACTGCCTCCTTGGGGGGAATCCTTCCGGGGTCCAGCAGGTGTCCACCCACCCTTGTTTGGCCAAGGGACCAGATGACCAGTGGCACAGGGGGGGATCACTTTGGGCCCGTGCTTGGGGTTGGCAGCGTCTGGAGACCCAGAAGGCAGCACAGTTCCCACGTCACTCCTCGGAGAATGAATCCCATTCTCAGCCAAGGGGGGGGTCAACCCTGGAGACCTGCAGGCCCCAGGGTGGTGGTCCCTCCCCACCCCTCAAAAGACTCACCTTGGGCGCCCTTGCTGGCTAGGATTAACCCCTTCTCTGCTTTCTTTTTCTTCTTCAGCTTCAGCCCAAACATCTCCTTTCTGAAAAAAAAAGAAAAATTTAAAACTACAGTGATAATAACTTTGACTCATTCAGACATGTTAAGAGAAAATACACACACACACACACACACACACACACACACACACACACACACGCTGAGTTCTTCTGGAAGCTGACCATCCTCCTAAACCACCCAGGATGGGCATCAAAAGACAAGTATCAGGATGACCCAACATGCTCTTCAGACTCTTACTGAAACCACAAAAAAAAACCCTAAACAGAAATCATGAGGTCCACCTAGAACCACACTTAAATTAGGCATAATACAAATACTAATAACACTAGCTGTTTTCTTCTCCATTTCTCTTTACTCAGCTGTGCCAGGCACTCAAAACAAATGATATCATTTAATCATCACAGAGACCCTCTCCTATCCATCTTACAGATGAGGGGTCAAGGCACAGAGAGGGTAAGTAAAGTTTCCAAGGTCACACAGCTCTTAAGTCTCAGAGCTACCCCTGGAACCAGGCCTGTCTGATTTTAGAGCCCAGGCTCTAATCACAGGGTAACCTGAGCAGAATGAACACCCTCTCCTCAGCTGAGCTCCAGACCATTTCTAAGGTCAAGAGGCTCTGGGATTTACTAAGGTCACTCCTCAAGTGCACAGCTCAGCTGACATGTAGTATATGCCTAGAATGTCAGCTATTATTATTATTGTTATTATTAGCCATGAGCAGGAAGCTGTTTGGGGGCCTCCTCCTCAGCCCTGGAAAGGGGCCCAGTCTGTTGTTTCTAACTGACACCAGGAGCATCCCGACCCTCTGCCAGCCTGCTGAGAGAATCCCTTTCTGGAGATGCGCGGAAGAATGGAAGGTCAGAAAAAGTTCTGGCTTTGAGTCGGGCAGGCGGATGGGGTGGCCTTTGGAGACGGGAAGAACAGGAACAGGGACGGATCGGAGGAGAAGGGATGCAAGAGCAGCAAAGGCTCGGACCCTCTCAGTGAGCATCCTGCAGTCCTGAGCAATGTGAGGACAGTGGCAGAACCACTGAAGTTTTCCATTTTCTTACATATTTAGGACTCAAGAGTGGGTGGACTACAGTGGCCAAGATCAGGGCCTCCACAGCCAGACTGCCTGGGTGCTAATCCCAGCACCATCATTGCGACCTTGAACAGGTCACCTAACCTCACAAAACGCCAGGGTCCTCACGTGTAAATGAGATAACAAATGTAAAGCATTTAGCCCAGTACCTGGAACATACTAGTTGCTCAATAAATGTTAGCTATTCTTGTTACTATTTGAAGGGATAAGGTTAGAGCTAATGAGAGGAAGCTACTAGGAGACATATGTCCCCTCCATTCACTTATTTATTTATTTCCTTATTTGTTTATTTATTCTTTTCATGTCCTGCCTTGATCCAGATGAGGAATTAAGGAGCCTTCCTCATTGGTGCTGCCTGAACAGTGGAATGCACTGCACTGGGTGGAAGTGAGTTCCCAGTTCCTGGAGATGTGCAAGCAGAGACCTACGGACCACTGGTAAAAGATGTTGTAGAGAGGACAAACATCAAAAGCAGGGGGCACTGGCCTAGGGGACTCCGGGGGTCCTTTGAGATCCTGAAATACAGTAGAATGATGGAAAGAATGAGTTCTGGAACCACCCAGACATGGTCGGATTGGGTAAGTCACAGCACTTCTCTGAGCCAGTTTCCCCCTGAGTACAATGGAGATAAATGACACGGTACATACTTTACAGGATTGTTGTAAGAATATGAGGGTAAGTAAGCAAAGCACCTAGGACAAAGCAAAGCTGTGATAAGAACACGCTTCTGAGCCTCCCAGGAATCTCAAATACACAAGGGAAATTCCCTTTTTTTCTGAAATTTCTTAAAGGAAATTTCCAATAATAGTTTTTGCTTTCCTGTTTTCAAAGGAGAGTTACCATGCAGAGAGTCCAAGGCCAGTCCCGTCCAGACTCTGAAATGCCACTGTGGTCCCCAAGGGTTCCCTGCCGTGATCATTTCACAGAGGCAGAATCTGATGTTCCTGGGAAATTGGCAAGCAGGCTCAACAGAGTACTTGAGAAGACTGAGTAACTTCCATCTGGAAACAGGAAGTTGCTACCAATAAATGACAGTAGCTACCGGAGGGAGACTTAACACTCCTTTAGGAAGCTGACAGTTCATCACGGATGGCTTCAGCATTCCAAGCCCTCCCACAGGGCAGGGCAGTGACTGAGGCATGGGGCATGCCACAGGCTACTGTTGTGGGCACGGGAGGAGGGAGAGATGTGCCACCTCTCAGAGTCAGGCACCCTTGCCCCTCCAAAACCAAGAGCTCCTAACCCTGCTGTCCATTAAACCCACCTAAGGAGTTTAAAATATACCAATGTCCGGAACCACCTTCAGAGATTTTTAATTGATTTGGGAGAAAAACCAGTTCTCAGGAGGTCTGCTCTAGACACAGCTCAGACCCCCTACAGAGGAAGCCAGAAACCTTCCAGTAATGCCCAAAGAATTTACAGCCAGCTCTGCCCTCTGGGTGGATTGATGTTCGTTTCACAAACACACAAGGTTGTTTGCCTGAAACCCTGAGTCAGTTATCAAGGGCACTCCCAGCATGACTCCCAGCGTGAAAAGGTTTCTTGATGAAAATTGATTTCTTCTCCTCAGCCCCGTGACATCCACAGTAGAGAGAGGACACAGCTCGCCAGCCCTGAAAGATCTTGCCACTGGCAGATTGCACAGCCCAGGGTAAATTGGAGACACAAGACTCAGCTCAGGGCCCTGCTTGAATCCCCCTGTTAGCTCCAGAATTTGGGGCTGGATGCTTAAATCAGATGAACATGTTTCATTCTCACATGACACAATATTTCTTATCAAATCCACAGGGTGATGCTAAAAAAGGAAACAATGCTTATACAATGTAAAACATGCTATAAAGTATTACAATGTTGATGACAAGAAAACATGCTACAATATTCCCCTGAGTGAGTTTTGAAGTTTTTAAACACGCTTTGACACTCACCAAGTACCAGGAATACCATGTTACACACATAAGCTCCTAGGATCCCCACCACGTACCACGAGGAGGATGCTATTATTATCCACTTTTACAAACAAGAGTTTGTCGGGGGTTCCAGCCAATATTTTGGGATCGACCAGTAAAGCAGGAAGACTTACCTGGTAAGTCTTCAAGGCAGTTGCCATCGTACCGGCCCCCCTCTCCAGTTTCCCGAGGATTCCGGCATAGGAACCTCCTGCCCCACTTCAAAGAAAGGATGGAACTCTCCAGTTTAGGGTCTACTGAATCTCCTCCCAGGGCCACCCCAAGATAAGTCAAGAGACACACAGTAACCCCCATACCACCTTGGTCCCCTCAGGGTGAAAGCTACCACGACTCTGATATCTACATCCAAACAGCAAGAGCATTAAACAGTGCGCGTTTAACTTGCTTCCGTACATCTGTTCAAGGCGGCGTTGCTTCACGTTGAGCCCAGGGCTCGCATTGCCAGGGAGGCAGCCAGCCTGGCACACACAGAAAGAGGAGCCCGGCAACTGGAGTGTGCGTCTCATCTATGATACTTTCTAACTATGTCACTGCAGCTGGCCACAGGACTTCTCGGAGCTCCAGGCTCCTCTTCTGCAGGAAGTGGTGGTAAAGTTAACACTGCTTTTCTCACTGGGAATATTGTGTATGTCACCTCATTGAACCCTCATGCTGAACTGCTCTAAGCTCTGCAAATAGCAACTTTCCTGTCATGCCCATGGCTAGGGGAGCCGAGATCAGGAAATCGCTCACAACCATGGTCACCTTGTGGTTTTCCACCTGTGTCACCAGATTCCCCTTCTGGAATCAACTTTTCTACCTTCAGCGCAGAAGAGAAGCAGCTCAGGCCAAGAGGCCAAACACTAAGTTAACTGCATCAACGGGTGTGACCAGTACGGGCCCCTGCTACTCTCCTTCCCAGATAAGGAGACTCAGGTCACCTCTGCACCTCACCCTCCAGATCCACTCATAACAACCAGTGTGGAAAAGAAAACGCTTTGGGGCTTCCCGGGCGGCAGAGTGGTTAAGAATCCACCTGCCAATGCAGGGGACACGGGTTCGAGCCCCGGTCCGGGAAGATCCCACATGCCGCGGAGCAACAAAGCCCGTGTGCCACAACTACTGAGCCTGCGCTCTAGAGCCCGTGAGCCACAACTACTGAAGCCCGCGCGCCTAGAGCCCGTGCTCCGCAACAAGAGAAGCCACCGCGATGAGAAGCCCGTGCACTGCAACAAAGAGTAGCCCCTGCTCACCACAACTAGAGAAAGCCAGTGCGCAGCAACAAAGACCCAACGCAGCCAAAATAGATAGAGAGATAAATAAAATAAATTTATATATATATAATGCAACCACTTTGATTTGTGAATTTCTTTATACGGGAACTCTTTAAAACTTTAAAAAATATATTATATTTAATAAACTTCCTTTACCAGAAGAATGGATTTGCAGGTAATCAAGTCTATCTTAAAAAACAAAACAAAATCAAGCTTTATCACCATTTTGAGGTTATCCAGAGAGCCTTGGGTAAATTTCCCATTGCCTGCTAGGAAATACCTTCTTGGGTATATGCTGTCTGTGTACTCATCTTACTTCTAGGACTGGCATATATTTATTAAAGGCAAACCAGCAAACATAGAAACAGCCATAATGTGGGCTTTGACAGAAGACTGTTAAAATATAAATCTATGCGACATCTTGCCTTGTCAAGACTCCGAAACGTTTTTTCCTCTCTGCCCGTGATCTTCCCATTACTGCTCTCCTGATCATATCCATTTACTTAGGGCAATGATGGTCAACTTTGGCTGTACATCAGATTCACGTGAGGGAGCATTCTAAAACTATCTCCCACACTATGGCCAGATCCCATCCCAGAGAGTCTGATTTCGTTGGTCAGCACCGGGGCCAAGCTGCAGTAGTGTTTTAAGTTCCCCAGGTGATTCTAAAGTGCAGCAGGCTGGGCTTCCCTGGTGGCGCAGTGCTTGAGA